AATCAGAATCATTAACCCTCATTGGAACAAATCTAAAAATCATCATGTTAAGTCCAAGCCTTTTGCCATTTATCAATTCCCGCTTTCACAATCATTAATTTCCCCTCAAAGTCTTCACATCCATGCTCTTGTCCTAAAAGCAAAATCAATAACAGCGTGATTCTGTAGTGTAGTATGTCTATCTACATCTGTATCTATATCTTATATCTGTATCTATATACCTATATATCTATATCTCTATATCTAAATTATAACAACAACTGTGTAGACTGGGCCARATAGCCTAGCTCACTGTCCGTTTTAATTTCTCACACACTAAAGCATAACGATTACTTAGCAACTCCCTGCAAAATGAAGCAGCTACAGGGCAATTACTTAAGAGAGAATATTTTCTAGCCAGATAGTGAGACCATTCTTCCYATGGAYGAGAGGTGGYMGACAGGCTCCAAGCTTGCGGGCGTCCCCGCAGAGACAACGTAGGTCTCGGTTGAAGTCTCTCCCCGTCTCAGATCCACAATTGTTTTATATCTGGCKTGTCCTGTCACGTAGGGCCCGTACGTGTCAGGAGGCGACCAGGGGACGGGCAAAGCTCCACCTTTATCATTATGCAACTTTCCCTGGTGTGCACATACACGGCCACCAGTGAGGCTCTCTGGTCTCATTATGAGGGTGCTACCTTTATTACCTTCATCTCCCTTGCTTCGTGTTTAACCTGTGAACTAGCTTACAGGTCTGCTCCTCTAGCATTGCAAAGGCAGCTAGAAAGTGACATCAGGCATCACACTATGACTGTGAATATGTAATATAAAGCAACGTTCAGTTATTTGTTGTACTGCAGACTATAGGTCCAAGAGTACCGAAAAGAGTGAATGTTAGTGACAGCCATCTGCAAACCTATATAAAGTAGCATCTGGCACAAAGTATAAGCACTCTGGTGAAGGGAGACGTGAGACAACCACGCTTGCTGAAATGTGTCTGGAAGGGTGGCCACCCCGGCGAGGCTGTCAGCATGCTGATTTCCTTCCATCAGAGGACCAGGCAACGTTGTAGGAGACCTGATAAGCATTATAAAGTAAGGAGCATGGTGATGTTTTACGAAATATAAAGATCACTGAGAAAAGCGTAACGCCAAGGATCAGCTACTTCCTTCAAGCAGCCTCCTTCTTGTCGGTTAATCAGTCCTGCAACTTATGCTAACAGAAACAATATTAATTACMTRTGAAARCATTCAAAAACAGTGAATCACCATTACAAATTACACAGTTTGCAAAATGCCCAGAGACTCAAACATTTCGCCACCCCCCTGCCTCGGGACYGCTCAGCTGCTGCYAGCGGGCTAACCTTGGAGTAAGATAACTGAGCAACTTCTGCTCCGTGCAGGAATGGGGGAAAGGAGGGGGGAAGCGACCTTGCTTGCTGCCGCTTCCACTGTTTCACTGCGCCAGGGAGGAGGAGGAGGCATCGCTTTCTCATGGTTGTGGGAAACAGGCAGAGGAGATGATGAAAGAGCCACCCCACCTGCTTCTGGCTCTGGGATCCTGTCTCTTCCTCTGCACTGCGCTTCCATTCCATCAGGAGAATAATATGTTGCATGAGAATCGGTATCATTTTTGCAATTAGCTCCCAGTTCTGTGGCACAAACCCGTGGGACTTTGTTATGTTCTGCAGTAAGTTCGTGGTAACAGGCGCTATCAACCCATTCTCTAACACTGTCCTTCGGAGTTCCTTTGTTATTTTGTGCTCTAAAGGCTGATATCGAAGAGCCTGAATACATGGCTGGGAAAGCAGACAGCATTTCTACATCTCCCACTTTCCTGGCTTCTCGATGTACCTCAGCCTACCAGTCGCGCGGATCAGACAGAAACAGACCTGGCTCTTGTTCAGGGTCTACAGGTCCTGGATCTGGAGGACTGTCAGGTAGATCCACACAAGCCACCATGCATTCCTCGCCTTGATTCGTGCCTTGATCTTTCTCCTCATCACCTTCCTCCTCTCCCACTCTGCCAGTCTGGGTGCCTGCGTCGTTCTCCTTTTCAACCTCTCTGTATATGCGATCAATCCTCCCACACAAATATGATCTCGCTATCCTCCACACATCAGCGTCCTCCTTAACCTCTTTCAAGAGTGTCAGTATCTTTCCCAAAGTTACTAATTCTTGCGTTTTCCCCACCATAGCTCTGTCGACGAGTGCTGTTTGCATTTTTGTCCAATTCTTCTCGTTAAAAATCTCTGCCGGAAAGGCTATAACGCCTTCCTTAATCAATCTTTCCACACACTCCYGGGCCTGCTTCGACTTGATACAAGTCTTAAATTTTTTGCCCGACTCTTTCAGTACCTTCACCGCAGCTTTCATTGCTGCCTTCTCCATCGGGGAAGCAATCGGAACTATCTCATTCTTCTCCTTCTTCTCCCCTTCCCAGAGAGGAAATTCGTCTTCCCATGCTTTTCCCCAAGCCTCCTTATCAGCCAATGTAATTGGATATGTTTTAGGAGTCATGTCAGAGCTTTCTTGTGGGGGGCTTGAGCCATCCTCATTGCCTCCATTCATGACCGTCCACTCTGACTCCCCAGAATCATCCAATTCCTTTCCTCCAGATTGTACCACTTGACATAGGGCAGCCGAAACTTGCGCTTCCCCGTTAAATTGTTCAATCATTATTCGGACAGCCCGGTGTGTACTAGCAAKCTGCCTTGCATCCTTGGACCCAATTTGGAYGCTTTCCCAGATTTCTTTTCYAATCTTTTCCCAYACCRTTACACTGTATACTTGAGAAGGTTCTGCCAGCAGTCCCTTCCTGCGACACCACAATAACAGATTAATTAAAGCAGCTTTCTCTACTTTAATTTCGGTTCTTTTTGCCAACTTTAAGAGGCATTCCAGTGTCGCATGCTCCATAGCCGATGCGGCTATTCCCATCCTGCTTTACTGACTCACCAGTCAGTCGTGGCGCCACCCTGTTCCGTCTCTTTGGACGTCCAGCCGCAGTCCTGGTCGCAGCTGGCAGCAGGATGCTCGCTCTCCTCCGGCACTCTGTCTCTGCCCCTTGGTCGATCACGTCGGGGTCACCAGATGCCGCGGTCCGGTCCCTCTTCTTATTTTTTCCCYGRAATTGTAGCGACTGGGAGAACCGKTCACAYCAATATGATGCTAGTTCTAGCCAACTTTATTAGAAAGCAAACACACTTATATATCATCAGAAGGCACTATGATATCATTAGAAGACAATATAATTGGTTAACTGTGATATCAYCWGAAGGCAACATAATTGGTYAGWYGRCAGAGACATGCTGTTCACGCGCCAAGGTACAGAGTGTGATTGGTTAACACGCATTGTCCACGCACCAAATGTCTCTTTCCCATTGGTTCTTGAAGTCTCACTTCTTACGACAAACACCCAGTTTCAACCAGTTCTAACTGCAATTAGGCAGTTGCTACTCTTGGTATCTCATGGAACAATGACCGAGGGTAACCTTGTCCACTCCTCCAGTACCGCAGTGCTTCATATTCATTTAGTACAGCCAGGGCTCCAACACTTGATGCTACACAACCAGAGCTGAAATTGTCAAAATACAAAAATACTTTTGCTATGTCATGCTTAGAAAAAAAATCAATGCTACCAAGAAGGCTTCTCCATGAGTAGAGAGTTTCTACTTTTGCAAACAACCTTCTGGTTTATGCAGCATGCCTAATTCCATTGACATTTAAAGCATGCTGAGAGGCACACTCAGGCTCTTTAGTGTTCAGGTAAGACACATTAGAACTGGCTAACAAATTTTGTAGTTTTGGGGTTTTAGAAAAGAAATTACTGTTGTTCCAGTGTGTAATTGCATTTTCTTAATATGAATAAAGTATCTCGACACTGTGACTGGAAACTTTGTTGTACTCAGAATCAATGGGATGTTCAACAAACTGAAACTCAGCTATTATCAGACTGATCCAGGTACTAGGCTGTAATTTTCTTCTTTGTTTTCTTATCAGAATTTTATTTCAAATTTCTCATTTTCCTCATTGTAATGCAGAGCACAAAGCAACCTTTTGGTAAAGGTTGGAGTTCACTCCTATTGGAAGCATTCCTCCTAACTTGTAGCCAAATATCTGAAGTTGCAGCTGCTGTCACGTCAACAGAAGTTGGTTTTAGGTGCAGAAAATAAACTTTCCCAGGAGACACAGCAGCCTCTACTCAGTAAGCCATAATTTGAAAAATAACATCAAACCATGACCATAACCAAGGCTATTGTACTTCCATCTGTTCACAAAAGATTCAGGCAATAATATACTAAGAATTATTAAGATTCAAGTAGCAATATTGCTGATACTCTAAATTAAATTGCCATATCAAGAAATGCAGACCATCTCTTCTAAATTTGACAGTTCAAGACTGGTGATTATTCAACCAAAGGAAGCACAGATTACTAGAAAGCAACTCAGTAGTGGAGCAGGTTGATTGTCTGATCTGGGTCTGATGTGGGTCATGGAATGAATAAATTGTGCTTTACTTAAGCCTAGTGACCAAAGAATAAAAATCATATAGGATCAGTGTTAATAAGCTTGCTAAACACTTTTTCTCTTATACATTTGTAAAAGATACAAGCTTTTCTTAGAGTTCTAACAGGATAAGTGCAGAAGAGAAGCAAGAAAAAAGCCTTACTTGATGACTTAGCACAATTTCACAATTTTGTAAAAAAATGATACAGAGATCATACCATTCATGGCATTGCTTGTCAGAAAACTAAACTTTGAAAATGATTTGATATATGGCAAGGAAATTATAGGGACTGAATGCACTGAGAGTGTCAAGACAGGATGAGAGACACTTCTGAATTTTCCAAAGATGACGGGCACTACTATCTGTTATTGTCCAAAACTATCTATTAAAAAAAGGCAACCTCTGTTGTTACTGAGGTGAAACAATTCTGGGGATTTGTATGGGAGAAAGAAACCAAGACAAATTTTTACCCTCTTCTCTCACAACCAGGAAAATAAAAAAAGGAAAAAGAAACAGAAAAGCGTTATGATCAATTTGTGAGATTGAGGACACTATATGCTTTCTAGCAGTTTGGCTGGTTTGAGCACCGCAATCACTGTCTTAGCTGATATACTGTCACTCCAATTGGGAGCAGTCATGTCAAAAGCAGGAAAATTCTGAAGTTAGAACATGTCATACATATTGCAAAATACTGGAAAGGATACAAGCCAAAAATAAAATAAAATAAAATAAAATAAAATAAAATAAAATAAAATAAAATAAAATAAAATAAAATAACATAAAATAAAATAAAATAAAATAAAACGCTTACAATTACCTAGTCTGAGATTGCTTCCAAAATTTCATCTGCTTCACTGTGCTCACTGAGGCAGATCACAAAGCATAGGAAATGGCTGCAACCTAACAGAAACATCTTAACCTCCACTGCTAATCTTTGCAAAAAGCACAATTTTTTATCATGAAAATAGTATTTTTGTGCTGGTTTCACAAGTGGACTGTTGCAGTGGGTAGGTACAAACCCTTCAGGAAAGTCAAATGGAGAGGAGGAAAGGTGTGGTCTGTTCAGAAGAGAGGTTTGTATGCAAGGAGCACAAATGTGGAATTGGTGACAGGCCTTTTAAGAGATTATGGGTCAGGCACCTGAGGGGAGGCTGACAAAGAGGATGACATGCCAGGCAGGCTGGACAATAAAGAGAAGGAACTGGATATAAACACCTTTGGAAAAGGACTTGTGATTACAAGTTCTCACTCAGTGCTTTAAACCCCCTGCTGTTTCCTAGAATGACAACACAGCAGGAGATAACAAATTCTGGAAATTTGTTTTAAAGCAGATGCTGTATGGGCCAAACTGTCTTTGCTGCTCACAGTGAAGGAAGAACTGCTTTGGAATGTGAAGGATAGAAGCCTTGACAGCAGTGACCATGGGATGGTGGAGATTAAGTTGAAGAAGACAGAAAGGCATGAAGAAAGATATAAAGACAAACTTCAGGAAAGTAGACATCTATCCAGGGAATTGACAGACAGGATCCAATGTGAGACTTCCCTGAGGACAGAAAAGTCCAGGACAACAGGTTTCAAGACAACCTTCTCAAAGCTCAGCAATGATCAATACCTATCTACAAGAAAATGGACAGACAAAACTGGAAACCAAAGTACCTGACTGAGCTAAAACACAAAACTGAAATCTGCTGGAGGTGGGAGGCTACATAGACCACCATACATAGAGGTATATGCAAGCATTACAAAGGCATAAAGGTACAGATTTTGGATGGCCAAAGCTGAACTGGAGCTGGAAAGGGATCTAAAGGTTAACAACAAAGGTTTTTGCAGGAACATGAGCAACCAAAGAAAGACCAAAGCAACTGTGGGCCCATTGCTGAATGAGAACCAGCTGATCATGTACCATTTCATGGTTAAGCTGAGATACATCAAAGGATGCTGAGAGAATGGCTCATGGCATTATGAGACTTTCTCTATCACAAAGCTGTCATCTTTGCAAGGCTGTAGCAACTAGAAAAGTGTAAATGTTGTGCCAATTTTGAAAAAAAAATAAAAGGCCAAAAGGCCAATTGATTTGATTGGGAAGGCAGGTTATTGGAAGGTTATTGGAAGGTTATACAGGAAGGCTTGAAGCTATAAACAACTGGCTGGAAGCTATAAACAACTAACCTCTTAGTGGTGGCCAGAGTCAGGACAAGGGGCAATGGATATAAGTTGAAACACAGGAAGTTCCATCTGCAAATGAGGAAGAGCTTCTTCACTGTGAGGGTGACAGAGCCCTGGCACAGG